ACTGTTTGCTCGAATATTAACTCAGAAGGTTTCCCTCCCGAGTCGTCACTCGACCAAGGATGTACTTTCGTTTTTTCTGAAAAGGTTTCCCTCCCGAGTCGTCACTCGACCAAGGATGTACTTTCGTTTTTTCTGAAAAGGTTTCCCTCCCGAGTCGTCACTCGGCCAAGGATGTACCTTCAACTTTCTTGAAAAGGTTTCCCTCCCGAGTCGTCACTCGACCAAGGATGTACCTTCTTTTCTAATAAGGTTTCCCTCTCGAGTCGTCACTCGACAAAGGATGTACCTTCGATTTTTCTAATAAGGTTTCCCTCCCGAGTCGTCACTCGGCCAAGGATGTACCTTTGGATTTCTTGAAAACGTTTCCCTCCCAAGTCGTCACTCGGCCAAGAATGTACCTTCGATTTTTCTGATAAGGTTTCCCTCCCGAGTCTTCGCTCGGCCAAGGATGTACCTTTGGATTTCTTGAAAACGTTTCCCTCCCAAGTCGTCACTCGGCCAAGAATGTACCTTCGATTTTTCTGATAAGGTTTCCCTCCCGAGTCTTCACTCGGCCAAGGATGTACCTTCAATTTTTCTGATAAGGTTTCCCTCCCGAGTCGTCACTCGGTCAAGGATGTACGTTCGATTTTTCTGAAAAGGTTTTCCTCCCGAATCGTCACTCGGCCGAGGATGCACCTTCGATTTTTCTGATAAGGTTTCCCTCCCGAGTCTTCACTCGCCCAAGGATGTACCTTTGATTTTTCTGATATGGTTTCCCTCCCGAGTCGTCACTCGGCCAAAGATGTACCTTCAGTTTTTCTGAAAAGGTTTTCCTCCCGAGTTGTCACTCGGCCAAGGATGCACCTTCGATTTTCCTGATAAGGTTTCCCTCCCGAGCCGTCGCTCGGCCAAGGATGTACCTTTGGATTTCTTGAAAAGGTTTCCCTCCCGAGTCGTCACTCGGCCAAGGATGTACCTTCGATTTTTCTGATAAGGTTTTCCTTCCAAGTCGTCACTCGGACAAGAATGTACCTTTAGATTTCTTGAAAAGGTTTCCCTCCCGAGTCATCACTCGGCCAAGGATGTACCTTCGGCTTTCCTGAAAAGGTTTCCCTCCCAAGACGTCACTCGGCCAATGATGTATTTTCGATTTTCCTGATAAGGTTTCCCTCCCGAGTCGTCACTTGGCCAAGGATGTACCTTCAAATTTTTTGAAATGGTTTCCCTCCCGAGTCGTCACTCGGCCAAGGATGTACCTTTGGATTTCTTGAAAAGATTTCCCTCTCGAGTCGTCACTCGCCTAAGGATGTACCTTCAGCTTTCCTAAAAAGGTTTCCCTCCCGAGTCGTCACTCGCCAAGGATGTAGCTTGACTTTCTTGAAAAGGTTTCCCTACCGAGTCATTACTCGGCCAAGGATATACCTTCAATTTTCCTGATAAGGTTTTCCTCCCTAGTCGTCACTCGGCCAAGGATGTACCTTTGGATTTCTTGAGAAGGTTTCCCTACCGAGTCGTCACTCGACCAAGGATGTACCTTTAGATTTCTTGAAAAATTTTCCCTACTGAGTCGTCACTCAGTTCACCATTTGATTACCATTGAAAGACTCCCTCGACAGCCTGATCCCGTTCGGCACCTTCGGTAGCCTAAACCCGTTCGGCATCCTCGGTAGCTTAAACCTATTTGGCCTTTAAATTATGAGAAGATTACGACTGTACCGCCCAGACAAGTATTACCCTCTACGTCGCTTCGCTCCTCAAGGTTGGGGGGCTTGTGTACCGGAAGGGACCTATCGGCCACGTGGACCGACATGTGATGTCCTATCGGACTTTGATACAATTCTCAGCACGACCTCGGCTCGGCAGAGGGTCGAAAACTAGGGACAACCCAACCCTCTTTCTATCGGCTCGGCCAAAGGCCGAGAACGAAGAGGTTGTCCTGACCTTTTCCTATCGGCTCGGCCACTACTTCGGCTCTATAAGGGGTCGAGAAGCATGGAGAATTCAACCCTGTTCCTATCAGTTTGACCAGAGAGGTTGTCTCGGCCGTGCCCTGTCAGCTCGGCCAGAGGTTGTCTCGGCCGTTCCCTATCGGCTCAGCCAAAGAGGTTGTCTCGGTTGTGCCTGCTCAAGCTTCTCTACTCTGTTCTCTGGTTTGTTTCTTAATCTCTTTCTCCGGCGAACCTCATTCCTCCATCCTTCAAGTTCTTGTCTTTGTTTCCAAATGGCCTCTTCTGCTGCATCCTCCTCTGCTAAGCCAGTATACTCAGGAAGATTACAATGTTTTGCAGCAGAACACCAAAGCAAGATACATACTTGCCTACTCTCTATCTAGAACGGAGTATAACAAGTTTTGCAGCTGTTCTACTACAAAAGAAACGTGGGATGCAATCAGGGTAATGAAGTTAGCGGAAAAACACATAGAAGGGGGGGTTGAATATGTGTGTGTGTTAACAAAGGTATTTTAAAAATGTTTTCACAAGAGTAGTGCTCTTCGTCCACTGCACTTTTGAATATCAGACAATTGTGTAGAGTTTGCTTAACATACGATCAATGCGTCTGAAGGGTTTATCGTCCACTAGGAAAAATGTCTCATAAAAATATTAATTGAAGTTCTTACATTTTCCTTTTCAAGATAGTTTCGTTTGAGGATGAGTAGCAGATGAAACTTTCAATGTAATAAGTTTGTCAAGCAAGGTTAGCGTCTTTTTCTAAAAGTTGTTTTAAAGATATATAAACACTGGACAAAGTCTTTCACAAATGTTTAATCAGTAAGGAAGATTTGTGTCTAAGTAAATAAAGGATGCAATCATTTTATACTGGTTTTCTCAATAGAGCTACGTCTAGTCTCCTTCAACTTGAAGGGTTCCACTAGATATGAAATGAAGTACACTAGTATTGTTGACCACTTCTGGCCCGTTGACTTCACTCATCAACACTAATATATTCTTCCCAGCCTCTTTAGGCTAGTAGTGAGTATTATGAACCACCCAGGTTAGAACCACTCCTAGTCCAAGTATTCTCGACCATTCCTAGTCCACTAGCTTCACTCACCAGCGCTAGTATTCTTAAACCACTTCTGGTTCTCCAAGTATTCTCGACCACTCCTGACCCTTCGGCTTCACTCGCCAACGCTAGTATTCTTAAACCACTTCAGGTTCTCCAAGTATTCTTGACCACTCCTGGCCCGTTGGCTTTGCTCACCAACGCTAGCATATTCTTCTCAATCACTTCTAGCTAGTAGTGAGTATTCTTTGACAAGCCCCTTCAGGCTTTATAAGTATTTTTTTTCCTAGCCTCTTCAAGCTTTACGATGATAGATGTGTAGTCGAGTTCAAGTGTTTACATAACTCTCACAGAGAGGATTGGGAAATTTCCTACACTTATTACGATTTGCTACCTTAGTTTTACAGAGATTTTGAGTGTGTGGGTTACTCTCATGGAGAGGATACATAAGTTTACAACATTCACTAAGGTTTAGTCCATCACTAACATTTCGAACACCTTAGTATACAGACATAAAAATACAATATAAGATTGTACATATGACTATGTATGCTCATCTCTGATCTCTGTCTCGTGGGCTTGATATCATTCTTTTTTTTCCAATCAAAAAGCCCAGGGCAAGGCATATAATCATTCTTTTGTTGCTTCTTGCCTCTCCCTTTTTTTGTTTGATGTTGTTGCATATTTATAGGCCTGTAAAATTTGCCCGTTGCATATGTTCGTTGAAGCTAATATAGTCGTTCATGACTAGTTTGATCATTTCATTTAATGCATTTGGTCTTGCATTAAATGTTGCTTCCTATTCTTAGACATTGCGTGTATTCTTCTCTGTCCTGTTGCTGTAGTGTTTGACTTTATCTGATACCTAAAAATTAGTTGTCTTTTTTTTTGTCATGCAGCAATATAGCCATTGTCCTTTTCTGAAAAAGTAATCTCTTTTTCTAACACATGTATGCTCTACTTTTTCATGCTTCTTTTTTTTTTGTTCCTTCATACGCATTTTATGTTGAAAGCTTTGGTGTGTTCATAGATGATATCTTGGCTTGTTTCTTGAGGCATGATTCTTTATTTGTTTGTGTGGCAGTCTTCATCTCCGTCTGTTGGTCCTGTGCATTTCAATCTTGACTTTTGCCTCAACGTCTGAGTTCAATGCTTGAACTTTTCTTTGGTCTGATTAACAATGTGAGTAGACAAACATTATTTCTATTTGGAGTGTCTCTCAGTCTGTGTTGTCCTTCGTTTGATGCATGGTTGACTTTCTTAAGAGGGAGCCGTTCGGCTTCACGAACGCCTTGAGGTCGCGAAAGAGCTGAATCGCCTCGCAGAAGAGGCCGTTTCTGACGTAGCCAGACACCATTGCGCTAAACGACACGTCGTTGGCGTGGGGACTTTCGTCGAACACGCGGCGCGCGACGCACGTGGCTCCGAGGCTGGAGTAGGCACTGAGGAGGGAGGAGATGACGTGGAAGTGGGTGACGTGGCCGCGCCTGAGGATGTGGGAGTGGAGCTGGAGGAGGAAGGGGAGAGAGGGGGAGGCTTTGGGGAGGAGGGCGAAGGTGCGGGCGTTGGGGCGGACGGCGTCGTTTAGCATTTGGGGGAAGAGGGAGGCGGCACGGTGGAGGTGGTGGCGGCGGGAGAAGGCGGTTATGATAGCGTTGTAGTCGAAGACGATGGGGAGGGGGATGGGGGGGAAAATGGCGAGGGCGGAGCGGAGTTCGGCGTGGGCACAGAAGGCTAGGAGTTTGCTTGCGACGAAGGCGAAGCGAGCGAGGTCGTGGGTGATGGCGTGAGCGTGGATTTGCTTCATTTCTCTCATGCTAGAGCATTGCTCCAAGAGACGAATGCATGGAGATGGAATGTGTCTGTGTGTGTGAGGGATTGGGCTCATAGCAAATAGCTAGCTCAGAGGGAGAGTAGCTCAGGTACCCAAAAGCAGATTTCTCTGTCGGAAAACAACGCCCAACCCCTCTCTCACTCTCACTCTCACTCTCACTCTCACCCTCCCGCACCTGAAATCCTCACATTAGGGTTATGGCTCGGACCGTTATGCCCGTGGCCAAGGGCTTCCTCTTGAACTTCCGCTGGGGCGTCAATTTCCCCCGGAGCTTCGCCTCCAAAATGCCAAGCTTAACCGTTAATAAGATACGTTTAGAGAGGGTTGAGGAAGCAAAGGATAATAATGACAATAACAAAGAGGCTTCCGTCAACGATTTGCAACTGTTGAAGGGAATGTGTTTGTGGATGGGGAGAGACTTGGAGAACGTGGAGAGGGAAAACAGGGAGATGAAGCGCGTTTTGGATGAGGTCAAATTGGGGATTTCAACAGCCAGAAAAGAAATTTCGCTGCAACAACCCAATCGAACGAGTGAAGGCTCTGGCTCTGGGGAGTTTCAGCGTTGGAAAAGTTACAAGAGTGGGAAACAAGAGGATGATAGAAACCAACCAAACAAGTCGCAGAGTGACGTGGAAGCTGAGTTACAGAAAGCCATCAAGGCCGCTACTACCTCTTAGCAAGGTCATGTTCCTTGTTACTTTTTTTCAATGTGTATAAAATCTCGGCTTCTCTTTTTTGTTAATTGATTAATTACATTACTACTATACCAGTTTGTTAAGGGTAATATAATCAAATTATCATTTATGTGGATGAGAGGAGGCATGTTAGAATTTTTGTAGCTGTTGATCATTAATTTTGCATTTAGGTCATATTTAATAATTAAATGTGATAAACGATTATAATATAATGTTAAAGTGCTTGTTTTATTTTCTTTAAATAAATTAATCATAGCCCCTTCTGCAACCGAGAGGTTGTCATAGTTGTAAATTCAGGAGATGATTATTACAAACACAAAAACTATTTCCTGCAGTTAACAATTCTTTCTGTAACAAACTGGGTGAAACTATTTGGCCTATTCATGATGGTAGCATTGTTCAACAATGAATTGATAATTTGATCAATTAATGTCTGCTTTACTTTAGACTTATCTTTTCCTTCTTAGTTCTTACAATTTTTACGCTCGTTGTGTTGTTATCAACATTTTGTTGTGTTTAAATATCTGATGTTATGGATGATGATAGATTAATATAATTTGGCATATATGCCTGAAAGTAGCTCTCAGTCATTGCTTGAACAAACGATTCTAAAATGCTAAAGTCTGATAAAAGGAATTTTACTCCAAACTTGAAGTGTAGTTTACTCTTCTGTATCGCCGTGCCATTATTGCCATGGTCTAAAGGTGATGATGAACAATGAGAAAAAAGTAATTAAAGAGCCAATTGGTAATTATCTGATTAAAGGGTTCTCTAATAATTTGGGGTGTTTGGTATCTGACATAAGATGGCCCAGATCTAATAGTGACAAATGAACCAGGACATTCTCAAAGTAGTCCTTAGCCAGTTTGCCGTTGGTTGACATATGATATGATATGATTCTCGAATGCAAGAGTGTGACAAAAGGACCTTAGTTCAAATTTTTTAAAGTGTAAAACCTAATTGTATATTAGCAACACTGTAATTTACAATACCTCTGGTTAACTTGATGAAATATTATATGATTGCGTTTTTATCCTTTAAATATTATAATTGTGCAATTTTAATCACTAAAATTTTAATTGGGTAATTTTAGTCTCTAAAAAATTATAATTATATGATTTTAGTCCCTTAATTTTTAATTGAATAGTTTTAGTTCTTATACTATTATAATTGTGCGATTTTAGTCTTTTTTATTTAAAATTTAGTAATTTTAGAATATATATATATATATAATATTTTAAAATTATACACTTGTTTACTTATTTAAATTAATGTATATTATATTATTTTTTTGTTAATATATCAAGTGATATATATTTATTATTATTAAATAAATAAAATTTATATATTATTATACTGTAACAGAGGTTTGTAACGGATGATGGGTTTACTTTTTAAAAATTAAAATTAAAATTAAAAGTAAGAATGTAGTTGAGATGGCATTTTGTGATTGGAGGGATTAGAGGGATAGGAAGTGGAGACAGGAATTGAAGACAGGATTTTAATCCCTAGTACGAAACCCTAATCTGCACCTATAAAATGTCACAAACCTCATTCCCTGTTCTCACAAAGTAGCATCGCATGGTGCCGGAGTCAAGTCTCTGTTGTGTTCGCCACTTTTGTAAAAATATCAAGTTAGGTTGAATATCATTAATATTTGTTGGAGAGGGATACTGAATTCTTTTTCTAAACAATTTTTAATTTCATTTTCATAGCTGTGTTCTAGCTTCTGATTTGAGGCCATAGAAGTTAACCAAGTTTTCTCTCGTTTCAAATGGGCATGTGATGAATCTCATAGTAACAAATGGGTAATTTGCGTCTGAATAAATTCATTGATGATATATCACCTTGGAGAACTGATGCCCTTATCTTTTAATTATTTTTATCCTTGTACGAATAATTATTTTTGTAATATTTTTCTGCATTAACATCAATTGCGTTTTGTCTAGATTTATGTTCTCTAAACATCGTAAATAACAAGTTTCATGTGGAATTGAAATTCGATTGTTCTGTTTTTGTTGAGGTTGATGAAAAGGTGCAAAGTAATAAGATTACGTCTCAATAAGTCTATTACAAGCCATATGCGATACATAACAACTAAGCATTGACAAACCTACAATGCCTCCTAATTTCTCCTTCATTTCCTGTAAGAACATTGATGTTTCCCATCTTAATCATAGATTTAGCAAATGAAGCAAAGAAAAGTTTTTCATTGGAGGCATAAGCCCACACCTGCTCTGTAATTTTTCCATCCAAGTCCTGGCTGATCAGAACATTATCAGAACCCAACAAGCCCTTCCCTTCAAGAATGTTTATGAAGTAGTGGTTATCAAACCTCTTAGGAGTTTGAAAATCCAGGGGTGCAAATTTGCTGTCCCTTCCTTCAACAGGGCATATAGACTTCAGGATTCTCCTGAAGTTTGTGTATCGCTTATAACGATCATAGCCACAGTGATATTCCTCTTTGGCTTCATATATCCTCTGCCTGAAGCTTAGACATCTTGCTCTTCCTATAGTATGGCTACCTGTTTTTTGTCAAGCAGGAACTTTATGTGATTAGATGTTTAATCTCTTTTTTTTTAACTGGTTATTATAAATACAGTATCGAAGTAATATTAGTATTACTTTCCTATCGGAATGGGAGTGTTAATCATGGTATGTATTGTTATTTAATAGAATCAATTACCAAGTTTTATCTAATAAATATACCTGATAGAACTACCAAGTCTTCTATGTCAAGGCCTTGTTGCTTAAAATTATTTATGAGAATCTCTAAAGAGGAATTTGGTGCAGGGATGAATAAGTTAGCCCCACTAAAACTTGACTCTAGAGAATCCTTCCTCCCTAGCAATACCTCCCATCTTGGTCCTCCTCTCTTCAAAAACAAACAATAGAAATTGTTGTGAAGCAAAAACATAAAAATAATAATAATAATACATAAAACATGCATTTGACTCGATACAAAGAAGTGTTTACCAATTCAACCGCGTCACGTGCAGCCATGGCAAGGATGTCAGCACATGAAACAGTAATGGGACATTCCTCTTCTAGCAAATACTTAATCTTGTCTATGAGCTCAAATCCACGTAGAGAGTTCAGATTTGGTCCAGCCAGCTTTTCACTTGTCATGCCCTCAATATTATCCAAAAGCACCGATGCATCGCACCCCTTATATAGAACAATGCAAGAAAAATAGAAGTTAAATCAAAGAGAGAATGATGGACCATGAAAAATGAAATGGTTAGATACCATGACAAAACAATCGTGGAAGTGCAAGCGAAGTAGCGAGGCTGCCAACCGAGGATCTTTTAAGACTGCCACCTCAACGTTGTGTCTCACGATGTCTTCAGCTAAGGGACACTTCTCCTTGTAGTAGTCATGAACAAGAAGTTCAGCACCACTTAGAGTTATGCCATTGAACAATACAGAAATCAAGATGAGCGAGAGTCTCGTACGCTCCATCGAAGGAAATGATGAAAAAGGGAGAGGGAGAGGGAATGCTGCAGCAGTCTTATCTTATGCTCTATCTCTATGTGTGTAGACTAAAAAGTTTGATGTAGATGTTTCCATGTTCCGTTCGTTAGTGTTTTTCTAAATTTTCAAACCAACTTTAGGTTGGAGAATTTTACCAGGTGCTTTCGGTTTCACCAAGAGTTGATACAACCAACTTGACTTGTTGTTTTTTAAATTCTGTTTGGAGATAATTTCTTTCTTTTGGTACAGGCTTTAGTGAAAAAAAAATCAAAAAAAAAGAATGAAAAGGGAAATCCCGTAAGCTGTTATTTGACAGATCGGTTCTGCAATGAATAGACTAGTGATATAGACAGTAAATATTATGCAAGTGGAGAACAACCTTAGCTAATTTTTAAGATTAAGTTAGACTTACATCAAAATTCTAAGTTGGTATGTTTACAATATTGATGTTACATTTTAATTACATTTTGAGTTTATCATGTCATTTATAACATTTTGAGTTTCTATCTCTTTCTTCCTCTTAGTTGTAGAATTATCATTTCTCTAATTCAATCTTGTTTTCAGATAACAATGATAAAAATGACCAAATGATATGCTGGATGATATTGATCGATCTCATCCAAATAACCAAATTTAATGGCACATAACCCTTAATTACTTTATATGTAAAGCAGTACGCAGGAATTCATGAGGTTTTTAAGGGGCAACTTTGTGAAGGGGGAGCAAAGAACGATAATAAGAACTAGACGTGCATAGCATGTGTTGAAGCAAAATGGTAATATGTAACTTGCAACAATCAGGCTGAAACCAGCCAAGGTCATTTCAGAAAACCAATGCTCAAATCAAATCAATGAGTTTACATAGAACTTGTGTACTGTTACAGAAAAACCACCCACACCAATGTTTATTGCCCAAAAGATAAAATAAATGGGAAGCACAACTGATGAGGCCAAAATCGAATAGGGATTAAAAAAAAAAAATCCTATAATCATCCTTTTGTATGACTATATACAGTTTAATGGTTTCCTATGCAACTTAGATTAGCAAAATTCTTGATATCCCAGTTAATCTCAAAGGAGGCTTCATTCTGCTTAGAAGTGTATTCCTTGAATTTGACACCTTGAAGCTCAGTTTAGAAAAGAGTATAACAGTTCGGTTGTCTCACATTCGCAACATTACTTCAAAAAGAGCCAAGATTTTAACACCCTGCTTGAAAATAAATCCATGTTAACACATGCATACAAAGCTAAATCATATACAAGCACAAACTCTAACACACTGTTAGCAAGTGCTAAGCTGGTAGTTTTAGCTAATTCTAGAAAGCAAAGTTGTCTGTTAATTTTCCAGTTAACTAAATAGTCGTTTTGAACAAAAGAGATTGATCATTCTTATTTATAAATAGCCTCAGTTTATACACAGAATTCTCAAAAATCAAGTCAATTGTTTAGAACTGAATTTAGTTATGATCAACCAAATCATACATTTGAAATGCATAATGATGTATTAGTCCTTTTCTATGTTATCTATTCAGAAGCATATCCTACACAGCGTGTGATGAATTGGATTGTTGTAATGAAAAAATAGAAGTGTATTTACCGGTTATAATATGATTGTACTTCAATGAATGTCTAATATGATTATATTTCTCCATCTTCATCAAGAAAGATCTCTGGGTGTACTGCTGCACTAGTGAAATTTAAAGCTCTCTTTAGTTTGCGATGGTCAAATACTTCAACTTCAACCAAGAAGATTGAACTAACTGGTCTATGATCAGAGAGCTTAATTTCTGCACGTCCATATTGTAGTTGTTTTATTCCTTTTCCTAGCCACAATATACGATCACACCTGCATATTCTTACCCAGATTAAACTACTGCATCTTACTTTGCCTATTCAATAGTTATTAAGTTATTATGATATATGATGTACATACAAAATATTCATAGGTTCATAACCCTGTTGTCTTGCACTTACCAGGCTGGAGATCTCTTTTTTTCACCTTCTTTTGGGCTCTCACCGACATATCTATCAGAGTTAATCTCATACTTGTAAGTGGGTGGGAAGTTTATCAACCCCTCTTTCCATCCATCAAATACATGCCCAATACGCAATTCTTTGCTTAGCTACAAATTAGGAAAACCAATTAGAAGTTATATTCCTCTGTGATAAATTGCATTCATTATAAAGAAATGTATATAACATGAAATCTTTTATAATACAGATCACTTTAGACTTTGAGAAATACCATGTAAAAACTGAAAAACTAGCATATTTTGCAGGTTGAAGTCTCACCTGATCATTATTCATGAGCTCATCCCACTTCTTTAGAGCCACCAATTTTCTGACCTCAGAATCCAACATATTGATACGATAATTCAAATCCCCAAACCAGAAAATCTGGCTGTTAGCAAGAAACAACACTCAATGAACACAGAATCTTTCAGGAGAACTTTGCATAAAACTGCAAAGGAAAGAAAACTTTGATCATATAGTAAAGCTTACTCATGAGATGGAATTGTTTGTGGTTGATCTGCATCAAAGACAGATGAGAAGCAAGTGCGTCTCAGAATTTCATTAACATCAGAGTTTCGCCTATGTTCAGCCCCTCCCTTCTGACCAGAAGTCAGATGGGAACACACAAAGCACAGACGTGACTGAAAGAGAGACATACTAATCGAAACCGACCCCTGCATCAGTGAGAATGTGTCATCACATTGACCAGTGTATAAAGACTACTTGCACTGATGGTTAATTGGTTAGTGATCATAAAAATACACTAGACTTTGTTATTACATGAGTCAAATACTAGTACTTAATTCTGTAGTGTTTATGAAGCCTAGTCAATTAACACTTGCATGAAATTTCTCATGGCCAGGAATGCTTTGAAACATGTCTGCCATAATGATGTCTCATTCAGGGTGAAACATGTCTTACCTTGTTTCCCATGTAGCCCATAAGTCCAACTCCAACCGGGGAAACACTCAAATTATTAATGTGCCTTCTCAACCTCCTCTGCACCCAAACAGATACATATATCCCTACCATTTGCTTGCTCACAATCCGGACATACCTTGGACTTTGACATGATTTCATGGTACCTAATTCATTATCATCTTGGTTATTAGGTAATTCATTAAAAGCATCATCATCCTCAGCTGACAACACTTCAGAGACATCAACAACTTCAGGTATCACTTGCTGTTCATCCCATAACAAGCCCAAATTTCCAGAACTGTGGTGTGAACGTTTCAGTCCAACACCATATATCAAAGTACTCTCACTTCTGTTAAAGCCAATTCTGGCTGAGCTGCTTAGTACTCTCCGCAACTTTGAATTGGAATCAATAATTTGGGGGACTGCATCTAATGAACGCTCAGGCCAGTTAATATCAATGCCATATATTCTCCTTAACTGTAAGTTATTCTCTATATCAATTATGTTTTTCACTTCTTGTTGTTCCACTTCATTATTGTCAACGGTTGCTACATACTCCTCAATCATCATATCAATTGGATTATCAGCATCTATAGTGTCTGCTAGAATATCAGCCGCAGAAGAAGTTCTTAACACTGGAGAAGGAGGGGCACTGTAGCTTTTGTGTTTACTGTCAGGCTCAGAAGATTTGTTTAGAGATCTTCGAATGATTGCCTCCCATTTTGGTATAGGTGTATTATCTTCAGCGCCTAGAACATTTCCAGCATTCAGTGGAACCACCTCCTGGAAACTGTGAATCGCCACGAAGATTTTAGTTACAAGAACACCATGCAGTAAATGATAGAGTGAATTGCACCAAAACTCCTGAGATTTCGTAAAATTGCATGTATACCCTTGTTTTTCTATTCCTACACTAACCTCCTTAATTGTTTGAAAAACATTATACTAGCACTCCTTAGACATTACACAAACCCGTCTTAATTCGTTTGAAAAACATTACACCGTGTGTCTCCCAATAATGGAAGTTATTGTAATTAAAAAGAACAAGGAGATTGTGTGCAATGTCACGAAAATTAAGGAGTGTCGCTGTAATTTCCTCTAGATGATATATACAGAACCAGAAATGACAACAATCATCAAAGGGGGCACTGAAGATAGTAACTGTCGTGCATCGTATCCCAACACGAACGCATAATTTCATGCATGTACGTTACATAAACCAACCACTAAAAAGCTATTCTGGAAAACGTATGTGAAGCCTCAATAAAATGTTAATTAGTGCATCTTAAAAAAATTTGTGAATGCGTCAGAAGTCAGAAGAAAAAGTAGGACCCACAAATGTCATCAAAGTACAAACAGGTGAAGGTACAAGGTACCATTCAAAGATATGTACGGCAAATTTGGTATACAGAACATAAAGATTCAATAGAAATAATGAAGCATCAGCAACTACTGACCCAAGAATGTAAATATCAGCTGGCTCTTCAGTACAAAGCCAGTCATCAATCTCAAGATCCTCACATGGATGTCTTCCAGCAACATTCCAAGTGCCAATTGTAACCCTGAAGAATAACCAAATTTAAGATGTATTTCATTGATATCCTTAAATTGATAACTTTAAATGTCATGCTGCATAACCAGGTTACCACCATACCTCACTTCCTTCGTGTCAATGTACTGAGCACGCAGAGTTTCTGATTTTCCTCTTCTATGTCTTGTCTTGTGGCCCTTATAAGATGCAACTGAATTACAAAACCAAATCACGGATGATGGTGTCAGGTGATGAAAACAAAATCACTTGAATTCAGAAAACTAACCAAGATGGTTGATGTAAAAAGTCTTTTTGTCTTCTAAATACAACACAAGAAAAAATGCTTAGACAACCTTTTCTATCAATTTTTCAGCTCATAGTTGCATCAAAAACATCACAAAGTTATGTGTAGCATGGCCAAGTTTGGCTCCAGTTAAAAACTCAAATTTCTACCAAAAGATGGGAACAAAGTTATGAAGGCATGACAAGATGTTATTTAGATTCTTGATTCCATAAAAAGCAACTATTATAAATTTCTAACCACCAAGAATGGAATAAGGTCTATAAGAGCAAAGAAAAAGTCGAACAATTTTTAAATCGCAATTAAATGGATCTTTTTCTTTTTCCGTTGGTATTCCACAAAGAACTAGATTTCTCAAAAGGAATGGAGAATTGCCTGATGTTTGACTTGGGAATATGGATTGAATCCCTTCTGTTCTAAGTGGATTATCTTCACCCACACTCAATCTTGAGCCTCTAAGAGAGCAAGCTGGACAAAAACCCAAAGAACCAAATGAGAAAAATTGAAAACTATCAAGCTAAAACGGAAAAACGATTATGGTGAAATAAAACTCATAGCATACCATCATCTTCACTCTCAGTTTCAGTGTCCACTTCATCTTCACTAAAATCATTGACCTTAGGCTTGATGTTCAACCATTTCTTCATCACAATGGAAGGCCAGAAGGCCTGCAATAAAATGAAATGATGAAGACTGCAAGAACAAGGTTTCAATCTAAAGCAACATTCAAAGCATGCTAAGGTTAAGCCTCACCTCAGAACGTTTTCCTCTCCTCGCCTTCATTGTTTTTGATCAAAAGACCAAAACAGAACCCAAAAACACACTTGCGTATTCTTCTGGACTTTGGAAGCACAACTTCTTAAATATGGAACCAGTCACTGACATTTATTTGGCAGTTAATATTTAAATATGAGGCGTTTGTAAGAATACGAAAAATGGGGTTAATTGAATGTCGATGAGGAGGAAGATCCCTATTGGAACCAAGCAGAAAAAGACAGAAAATGTGTGAACATCTCAGCAACACATCCACAACCGCAACTTGTAGAAGGAAAATTGCACTGCTGGTCCTCACACCACGTCGCAATTTTCTGATAATAATAAAAGTATAAAACACAACACACTAAGTTGAAATTTCGTTACAAACCCAAAAGCAAGTCCAATAAAACCATATGTCATTTTCACTAAAAAATATAAATCATGAGAGGCCAGGGCAACATCAAACAAAAACATCAATGTTACACATTAACTTACAGAAAATCAGCACATTCAATTCAACCAAGCAAGCAATGAAATAATTAATAACAATACTAACCCGGATTTTTTTAATAAAAAATTGGAACAATGATACAAATAATATCATCTGCTAGAGCTACATATGTTTGATTTAGATTTAGCATGCCTCAAATGCAGAAGCTAATAAATACACATTTGCAGACACCAAAAGTGATGAAAGAATGGAAATTAAAAAACCATGATGGATAAAATAAAAATAAAGCGTATAATCACAGCCAAGATGTGCTAGTGACCCCACAAATGGTGAGGTGTCAGTAACAAGGAACAACCTTATCATTAAATAAACAGAAATTGACACTTACATTAAATGGATGCTTAGTTAAAATGGACAACTAAAGTAAACTAAGATTTCATCATGTCAGGGACAGCTGTAGACCCATTGGTTAGCTGATCCACCTTATACAGTTATATTCTCTCTCTCTATATATATATATGTACTGATTTAGAAACTGACAAATACTTAATAAAAAATAAAGAAGAAGAAGAGTGAAGACATTGACCCACAAAGATGAGGATGAGGAGGATGCAGACCAGCAAACTAGCACTATGTGTGAAGATAACAATTCTGAGTTTTCAACTTTTGAAAATGAAGAAGCAACGCGTTGGGGTGTAACGTGAAGAGAAAATAGTACTTCTTCTCTTAACTCATTCCTTTGACTGTGATTAGCTTATAAACTGAAAATAATAATAAAAGCTAAAAACTTTTTGAGCAATAGGAAAAGTACAACCGCACACAAGTCGAATTGAGCAAGGAAAAAGGAAGAAAAGTTTCTCTTTTATTCATGGCCACATGGAAACGTGAACAGTACTACATTAACCATTCATTGAGATTTGAAGGAGGGAGTGGCACCATCTAGAAGAGATTGAAACAAATTCGAATAATGAAAATAAAAGCTGACCTTGTAATTAATTTTGGAATTATATACATATATAATTAACATAAAATTATAATTTTATATTAGTGAAAATTGATTTTTTTGATAATAAATACATGGCATGATAAATATAATAAATATTACTAATTTATTTAATAATCATAATTTTTTAAACCTCCTTGTACATGTAAATAAGACTAATATACTAAAATTTTAAATATATTTTTAATCTATTAAATTTGAGGTAAGTTTTTTTTTTTCTAATTCAAAGATATTTTTTTCAGTCTTTATAATTTGAAAAATAGTTTGTTATTGTCCTTTTTCCTAAATATCATCAATGAATCTGTTATACAAAATTCACATAAAACATCCCTTAATTAGATCCAACTCTTATTACCCAATTGATTTTTATCAAATCTTTACTTATTTGTAAAATATAAGATACAGTAATAAATTTAGTATAATGAAATACTAAATAAAATTCTTTCAGTCCAAAATTATATCTATTAGATATTTCTTAATTCATTTACATTAATTTTTTAAAAAAAAGAAAAATTTGAGAAGAGACTATATATAAATGATGAAAAAAAATGTATTTTATATCCTGTAATTTGATTGAAATTCTTTTTTAAAGAGTTCGGCAATTGACTCATATCTAACAAATTAAAAAAATGAAAAAAAGTTAAAGATTAATCCAACATAAATGTGCGTTTATCACTTTGTATAACCCGACAGGGCTACTCTTTTCCACTTGGTAGTTTGAGCCTTGGAATTCAGGGAAACATGGCAACTCATTAATTAAAATTAAATGACGCTAACGGTAATTAATTAATTTAATAATAACATGACTTTATTGAAGGATAAGTGACTAAAACAAGTGGTTTAGGAGGATATGATTAACCACCGTCAAGCTTTACTCGGTCTTGTCTTTCCATGACAATTTGACAATTGTTTAAGTTACGTCAAAATGGAACATGATTCTCATCTCAGGAAAGGAATTATTTTAATTTAGAAAAAAAAGAAAAAAATTGTGTGCCAAAATGAGTTGTGTCACGAAAATGAGATAGTCAAAATAATAATATTTTTGCAATATCGACGAAAAAAACACGATAGTATGAGCAGGAACATTCTTGGACTAAATGGGCTTGTCGGCAACCTCTGCCTCTGTCTCGTTGTATTATTAGGTTATACTTTTCTTACGTTCATTTTTGCTTAACATTTAAGAATTTTGTGTATGACTATATGAGAAATGTTAAAAAAATTATTAAAAAATATTGTTTTATGTAGTTTTTTATATAAAATTTAGTTATCTAATTCATTATAAATAGAAGAAAAAATTAGTTAATTTAATTAATAGTATTAAATTTGTCTTAAACTTATAATTTTCTTTTAAAACTATCTTTAATATTAGTGAAATTTATACTTTATTAAATTTTATAAAATTAAGATAAATGATTTTAATAAAGGACCTTTTGCAAAATATATATATATATA